CCAAGCAGCGCCTCCTCCTACTTCCTCTCCACTTTCACCCGTCTAACCCCTTTCTATCCTCCTCAATCGAGGAACTACACTTTCCATCGGCCATAGTTAGGGCCGAAGTACCCCGATTGAAGCCTGCCAAATCGCCCGGTCCGGATAGAATTCCGGCACCAGCACTTCGAGAACTTTCAAACGAACTGTGTGAACCCCCGTCTATAATATTTCAAAGGTCATTTGAAGAAGGCAAACTTCCGGAAAAGTAGAAGTGCGCATTCATCACCCCGATCGATTAAGGAAGTACACGACTTGACTGCGAACATTATCGTCTTGCCAGTCTAACTTGCCTCGCATTTAAAGTAACGGAGTGCAGTATCAAAAGACGTTCGATGGAATACTTGATGGAAGAATGTTTAAATGGATCAGGAGTTTCTTGTCCTCCAGAGTACAGAGTCATTGTGGATAACGCTACCTCGGAATGAGCAAAAGTGGAAAGCGTGGTGCCAGCGGGCAATGTTTTAGGCTCACTACTCTTCCTGGTTTAGGTAAATGATTGCACTAGCGAACTAGATTGCAAGGCCCTCATGTTCGCGGATGACATAAAAATATGGAGTGAAGTCAGCTGCGTTAATTACGCAAAGAAGTTGCAATCGAACACCGGCAAACTGTGTGTTTGGTCGAACAGGTGGCTTTTAAAGTTTAACTTGCCCAATTGTGTGGTCTTGCATCTAAACGCCAGCCGACATGCCTCTCCCAAACCTCAGCACTATATTATCGGGATGGTACCAGAAACTGTAGAAAGACACAAAGATCTCAGTGTGTGGATAACCACAAATCTTACGCAGTAAGAGCACTGGCGGAAGATAGTCTAGAAGGAAATTAGTACTTTACGATGGGTCAGATGTGCATTTAAAATACTTCCTCCGTAGGAAGTTTTCTTCCAGCCAGCAAGTTGTTCGGCCATGGAACTCGCCATCAAGTGAGATGGTGAAGGCCGACACGATTCACAGGTTTAAAGGAAAACTCGCTTGCGGGATTTTACACAAAGACTGACTTTTACAGCATGACCACTCACAGCCAGCTTTGTAAAACACTTTGTTATCCACAATATTTCCGTACTGACTCACTGTGAACAGATGTGCTTCCTTGTTTTTATATTCTATTGAAAACCAATCGCATTCCTAATGTCTGCAAATTTTTTGAATGCATATATGCAAACTCATTGCGCAGAAAGGATCTTCATGGGCTCTGTTCTAACCCTGCGAATACATACGTACAACGCAAACATTTTCCGTATTATCAGAGGGTTCCGACGTGAGCGTCGACAGACCGCTTGAGGTCAAAATGCGGGAGATGACATCAAAAACCGCGAAAATTGCCGCTATGGGGGAGGAGTGATATCAGTGGATTTAGAGACCAATTCAAAAGAGGGGGTTTCTAATGATATAATTAAGAGTTACCACTTGATCTACCACTAAATCTCAGGAGGACCCTTCTCGAAGTCAAGAATCTGAGTGTTCGAGAATGAGACCGTTAACAGTGCCTTTATGCTTTCCGGCGTAAGATGTTTGCGTAATTTCGATTTGAATACCAGTAACTTAGGCGATAATCTAATTTCAGGCGGAAGATTATTCCAAAGGAAGGTATATTTGGAAGCAAAGAATAGGGAGCGCTTGGATGTAATGCATAGAGGCGGTGGAATCACCATGGAGGAGTTGCGCATGGCATAAGACCGATCTCTCGGAGTGAGAGTGTCAATGAGCGGAAGATTGGAGCTAGAGTTGATGCGAAAAGGGAAGCAAAGGTCAACTTCGAGTCTTCTAACCCACAAAAACTTAATGTTCGCCAGCTGACATCTCTGAGTATAAGAAATACTGGACGAAGCTTCAGAGAACAGTTTCCGGGTTAAATCCCTCTGAACATTTTCGAATTTATTACGGTCACAGGCATTCAGTAAACCGAAGAAAGGACAGCAGTATTCGACAACGGGAAGAACAAACAATTGGCAAAGTCTTAGCTTCATTTTCGGAATGAAAAAATAACGCCATATGAACCCAGATATCTGCGCGGCTTTGGCAGAGATTCTATCTGCATGAAATGATCAAGCAATCTTATTTGTATAACTTAGACCTGGGTCCTTAGTGGTGAGGCATTTTAAGGGTGGGTTATTCTGAAAAATTATGGCACCAGGAAGTTTGGTCGCACCAAAAGACACGAAACTACACTTGGATGATGAAAACTCCATTTTCCATGTCGAATCGCCTCTGCTTAAGCGTGGTAAATCGGCATTAATTTTGTCAACACAAACGTTTGCGGTGTCCTTGGAATATGAGCAAACACACTTGAGGTCATCAACATAAAGAAAAGTTTGCGAATTTCCGCGTTCAGCCGAAATATCATGGATGTACAGAAGGAAGAGTAGCGGACCCAGAACCGTATCTTGATGTAAGCCACACGTGATCGAGTGAGGTGTCGAGTAGTTATTACCGACCATGACTTTCTGATATCGGTTGGACAGATAGGACCTGAGTAAGTCGAGTAGAGGCTGTTGGTTACCGAGTGCTTCCAATTTTACTAAAAGACGTCTATGGGCCACCTTGTCAAAGGCTTTGATAAGGTCAAAGGAGATAACTACCACTGACTGCCGCTCATTACGAAGAGAAGTGATTAGATTAAGAAAAGCCAAGCGACATGTTTCGCAGGCTCGTTCAGGCAAAAATCCATGCTGACTAGAACTCAGAAGCCGATTAGCTAGACAGAAGTCAAGAATTTCATTGAAAATAATCCTTTCAAGACGGCGTTTTGTGCACGCCCCGATAGTTATTAACATCGGACCGAGATCTTGACTTAGAGACGGGAAGGATAATTGACGTTTTTCATGTTTCAGGAAAGAATTCTTTTGAAGTATAAACCGAGAAAAAATGACTAAGCAATATGGGAAGGTCGGACGCTTGTTTAATAATCGAATTCGGAATCCCGTCCGTTCCTGAGCAGTGTGAGTATTTCAAACGACTTATTTGTTTCTTACTGAGATCTGAGGAGACATCGATTGTGCTCAGTGTCTTATCTGAAAGGGAACGAAAGAGAGAGACTGGCTCGGACTCAGTAGTAAGGTGTTTTGCAAAGGAAGCAGCAAACAACTCCGCCTTGTCAGTGTCATCGATAAGGAAGATTTTGTTATCATTTAGCGGGGGTGGATGTTCGTGACCACGCTTAGAGGGGGACCGATGACGGAAGATGTTAGTGACGGATATGCCAGGGTTCGGATCACTGAGAGCAATGGATTCTCTTTGCTCATGGCGCGCTTGGCGCATCCTTGAGGCCATCTCAAAAATCTCTGTGATTCTAAGATGAACTGATAAGGAACTGATGGATGGGTCACGCAGCTGTCCCCTCAACATTTTTAGTCTGTTATGAAGAAAATGAGGAACAAGGGAATCTGAAGAATTAGGCTTGAGATATCTACGCGGCACAAACTCTGCAATGTCCTTGGAAAAAGTGGACATGGCATCACGAATAATGGTTGCATCGCTACATGAGTGGAAGCCACACCAATCCAATGATCTAATATGGTTATTTATGAAGTCGTTATCTACGCAGTCCTAGTTCATGTAAGTCCGAAGGACGCTGATCTTTTTTGAAAAGGCAAGCGGTAAGCAACAATGAATTTATACGTGATCACTGTCAAAGAGGTCCTTTTTGAAAGAAACAGAAAGAGGGGCAATGTCATTGGTAAAGATTAGATCTAAAACGTGATTATCTCTTGTTGAAGAGGGCATCAGTTGAGACCAGTTAGAAAAATCGACAACATCTTAGAAGGGCTGGGATCTAGATGGACAGATATTGGAAACCCAGTCTATTTCAGGAAGGTTAAAATCCCCAGTGATTACTTTGACATCGAAAGTAGCTACCGAAATTAATTAAAAGATTTTAGAGAGTTGCGTATCATAACTGGCTGAAGAGTTTGGGGGATTTTAGAAACAGCCAATAATTGCCTTTCTTTGCGCCGAGAGAATAACAGATGCAAAGCAGAAGTTTCCCGTGAATGAGGAAACATCCAATTAATAGGGAGAGTGCTTTAGGAAGGATTTAAGATAAAGAAGACAATCACCCCACGCCTAGTCGTGCGGTCTTGACGGTAAAAATCGAAGTCATCTTTGAGAAGGGCAAAGTCAGGAATTAGAGAATGGGTCCAAGATTCTGTTACGCATATAATATCTGGCGTCATTTCCAGAGCAATGGCTCTGTTTGGGCCATCTTGTTTATAACTGACCAGGCATTCAATAATATAATATCTAATGTGTTTCGAACGGTAATGTTAGTTTCGACGGTAGTTAGGAAATAATTTGGACGTGGATATGTAAGCTGTGAATTAATGACACTTGGAGAATAAGTACCAGTTATTCTAGAGTCATTGACGTACGGGGAGTCAACAAGAGAAGACTGAGTATGAGACCTAAAGGATGTGGGGATATAGTTTTCGAACATTGGAATGCTAGGGAAGTTAGAACATGGATGGACTTGTTGGTAGTTAAATAGTGGAGGAAGGGGAGTAGGGAGCCTAGAAGGAAAGTAGGGCCTATTGGGTGAGGGTAGGCCGCTATAAGAATGAAAGGGTGGGAAACCAGGTCTAGGTTGGAAGTCAAAGGAGATAGGTTGACGTACCTGAGAGCAATTGGCCTTAAGTGGTGGGAAGCCTGAACTGGGTGGGGGCATAAATGATTTAGGGCAATTCATGTATGAATTATTTGCTGGATATATAGTAGGGCTTTTATAAGTAACCGGTAAGCAGGACAGAGAATTATTCGGGGATATAATTGGAGCTGCGGGGTTTGTAGACGTGCTGGGCTGAACAGACTTGTTAGATCTAAGAGAAGGCGTCGTACCCCTAAATGGAACTGTACTACCTATCTTTTGGGTCGAAGTCTGATTCAATTTTCGAGTCTCACCGTTCTGACACCAAGCCACTGGTGACTTAACTGTAGACCTTACAGCACCCAGTTGGACAACAGAAGTTATCGGTCTAGCTGATGTAGACGGATTTCCATGTGTCTCAGCGGGACTATCAGGAGGATACGGAACGACAAATGGGGCTGCTGCTGCTGCTGCTGCTGCTGCTGCTGCTGCTGCTGCTGCTGCTGCTGCTGCTGCTGCTGCTGCTGCTGCTGCTGCTGCTGCTGCAAGTTTAGGGGCAGGCAAATGCGTCAAGTGGCTTGAGTGAGATGGAGATGTAGGAGAAGGGGGAAGGAGGGAGTCAGATGTCGCAGGAGTAGGACAAGCTGAATCCTTACGGCCACTTGTATTATGACCGAGTTGGGGAGCATTAGACTGAGAAGCAGTGGGTTTACGTGAGAGCAGAGACCCGATTCTACGCTCCATAGGAATAAGATCATGACAAAGGAAAAATTTTGCCTTTTCTAGGTACGCAGTGACACGCTCTTGATGGGCAAAGAGTGTGTCAACCTCGATTGATGAAAATAATTTGACTAAGATGGGTGGATTTTTGCTACGGGAGGACAAGCGTTTGGCATCGGCTATTTTGTAGTTGAAACCACATGAATACAGGAAATTGGTCGCAACATCAGTTGGCCGAGCAGATCGAGGAACATTTTTTAACGGAAAGTTGTAAGAACGCTTCTGTCTATCACTAGATTCACTGGCGATCAGGTGAACAAATGAGTCGAGACGCCTACATTCTTCAGAGGGAATATCGGAGATGTTCTCGTCGAATAAATTTCCAAGAATTGTCAGAAAAGTACCAAACTTTAGCATAAAGTCATTGCAGTGGTCAAGTGCAGACAGATTAAGCTGCCGACCAATTACAGCGGGTGACGACTGACTGGTAATATCATCTAACTTAGATTTAGGTAAGGCTTCTGACTTACGTTTAGTTAGGCCATGCTTACTTACAAGAGCCGAGAGCTTACATCGACCAGTGACTTTTGGTCTCATCTTGTCTCGAGGCAAGTTGCGATTAAGAAAACTTCTGGCAGACAAGATGACTGAATTTCAGCTAGGGGCTAACGATGGAAAAATAAATTACAACAGTTAGAGAGTAATCGGATGCACAAAATGAGAATTGCAGAGTGCGACTAGTGAACAACAGGCATAGACTAGCAGAACTCAAAAGGAGATGGCAGCAGGCAGTTCTGAGAGAAGAGGCCTGTATTTAAGGAAATTCAACCAAAAAACAGGGACTAAAATCGTTAGGTCTCACAGAAAAACCACTCAAAATAATATCATTCACTTATCTTCGAATTTAAAACCAGCGGCTCGACCAGACTTGGAGTGCTCCACTGCCGAACTTTTTTGCGCGACTGCCCTACGGTGTCCCGATGATTTTTTCGGGCCATCCCAAGGCTTTACCGATCTGGACGCAACCGATTATGTCCAATGGTCGCTCAAAGCAATGGTTTCTCTCCGGGTCATACCCCCACACGTTCAAGCAAGTTAGTCATATAATGGCCCTAACTTTCTAACATGTTCTTTTCTATTTGTCCGCGTGGTTGGCGTTCATAAGCCATTACAGTGGTCCTACGACGGACCATTTCGAATCCTGTCGCGAACGGAAAGGCATTTCAAAAACGTCCGTGGCGATCGCACCGAAGTGGTATCAATCGATTGGTTGAAAGTAATCTCTACCGACCCTCCTTCGTTCATCCCAACAGATCGGCCATCTTCACCTGCCACAATTTCTTCGATCTCCCTGCCTCCGCTTCCACTGGATAACCCCGAGCATCCCCCTCCCCTCCCGATTCCACTCCTACGTGCAGCGTTCGTCGCGTCCGTTTCCCCGATCGTTACCAACTTGTACAATATGCATGACACTTGTCTAATATACATCAATTTTTCACATTCGAACTATATTCTCCTGGGAGGGGGACTACTGTAGTGACATGAAAAAGCGTTTTGGTCTAGTGCGTCAAAAAGGCAACCTCTAAAAACGTTGGCACAACTTTAACAGTCAGTTGTCGTCACGTTGCATTCTTGTGGCTACTTTGCTCTTTCTGGACTTCTCGCGATAGACCGGTTTATTACTTGCAGTCTCAGCCGACTTAGCAGCTGGTCTGCTCATTGGCTCTTCTCTTATAACTTGGCTTGCTGTGTGATCCTAAAACTCCGTACCATAAGGACCAGTGAGGCGATTGTTCCCTCCCATACCTCTTTGATGGGCAGTCTCCTTCAAAGGTTGATAGTCAGAAGAGCCTGCACGGCCTAATAACCTCCTCGCCTAATCCATCGTCACAATATCTAAAGGCAGCCAGACAGACGACAAAGGTGTTATTTGCGCTGAGACGAGGATTTGTGCAGACTGAAAAAGAACTGTTTCAAAAATCCACGGAGCATTCGTTCGGTCTCACTTAGACTATGCCGCCCAGGCCTGGCGCTCGTGGTTTGAAAAGGATTATAAACTTCTGGAATTAATGTGGAAGGGCGTTTTGAAGATGTTCAAGAATCTTGGTCATCTGCCTTAAGTAAGCAGACTGGCTGAACATAATTTTTTTCTTCTCAACAGCAGGCAACTGCCTGGCGGCTTCAAACCTAGCAGACCGTTAGAGGCTATGAGTGCGCCTTATAATTTGATGACATCTTCGAATTGGCCAGGACGGGTCGTCTGCCTGGTCATTCCTCCAAACTTCAGAAGAAGCTGGTCCATACGGACGACTGACGTAAGGCCTTCTCGCGGAGGGCTAAACTTTCTAACGCGGCGGTCATCTAAAAAACTGTTGAAACATTTAAATTAAAAGGTAGATGCTTGTTGCTGAGCGCCATCAAGCGCGCATTCGCAGTTTTCGATAAACACTGCTTCTCCAAAGTCTTCGACACGTTTGTAAGGCTGCATCTCGAATATGCAATTCAGGCCAGGAGACCGTGGACTCAGCAGGATTACAATCTACTCGAAAGTGTGCAGAGGCGGGCAAAAAAATTAATAAGAGGTCAAGGTGTACTGCCTTACGAGATCCGCCTAAACAACCTTAACCGCCATCCTCTGAGTTATAGGCAGTTGTGCGGAGACTTAATACAAACTTTCCGCATTGTGCGTGACTTAGACTGCGCCCTCCGGTGTGGTGACTTTTTCCAACGCACATTATAACTAACCTCCGGGACATCCCTTCAAACTACGTATGTCCATAAGAAGATTGGATTAAGAAAGTATTTCTTCTCCAAGCGTGTCGTAGAACAATGTAATAACCTGCCCGAGACGACTGTTATGTCTCAATCTGTGGAGACATTTAAATGTCGGCTTGACAGACACATGCTGCAGCATCAAGCGGACTATGTGACTTCGTAACACTAAAACCAGTGGGCTATGTAAATAAATGTCTGCATTCACTTAATGTTGCAGTTTCTCTACATTTTTGCTTATCTTCTCGATTTTTTATGTATAAAAAGGGAGTTCAAATGTGTAAGCCTATTTCCCTCATACGGACTGACTGATATAGTCGAGTTTGCGTCAGTGCGGCAGTATGACTGGCCCACATAAACCGATGACTTCGAAATTTTCAAAAGTAATGCTGCGGAAATTAATTCAGTTGCTTTTTCATATACTGACAGGGGGCTTAGAGGTAAAAGCCTTAGTGGCACTATAAAATGACCCACATTCGCTTCCGTTAATTTGTACATCATCCGAACCTGTGCGGACCATTACCCAGGTAGAAAGAAGGGCATAGGGTATTCCACAATTTAAAAGAAAGTACACTTTGGCGGGCACACTGAAACCCGTGACTTTATTTAAAGCTTCAAGAACAATTATTCTTTCCATTTTTGTTTTACTACTTCAACAGCTTGGTTCGGGGGAGGGCAGTCGGACTTTCTTTATTTTTTTGACGGGCTCCGGGGCGTGAAGTTGTGGTACGTCCGTCGCTCTTTTCTTACTTCTTTCGATAATTATTTAGACGCTGAGGTCACTTTCGGTATCTCCATCTTTTTCCTATTCTATGTTTTAGTTCCACTAAAACTGTGCGACAAACTAAGCACGAATGCAGGTCATGGAAGATTACTCTTGTAAGAGTCCTGACAAGTCGAGTCCCAGTTTTCCAGAAGATGCCGACGATGACGATGAAAAATTGGACGAAAACTTCATGAGTTTCAATCGCCCGATCTCCCAGACCTGCCGCCCTCCTTCGGAGTCGTCAGCTGATCACATGGCCACAGATGTCACAATGGTAGCTGAAGAGGAGGAAGATGAGATGGATGTCCTGAAGCCAATATCTTCTGGTATGGACAGCCCGAAGCCAAACAACGAGTCAACGGACAAAAAAGTTCACTGGACGACGCGCAATGTTCAGGCTC